GTTTATCTACACCTTCATATTCATGTTCATGTTCATGTTCATGTTCATGGTCAAGTTCATGTTCATGTTCATTTTCATGTTCATGTTCATGTTCATGTTCATTTTCATGTTCATGTTCATGTTCATGTTCATGTTCATATTCATCTTCATCTTCATCTTCATCTTCATCTTCATCTTCATCTTCATCTATGTATGTATGTATGCTATTTGTTTTGACAGTATTAAGTGCCACTTTAATGTTGTTGCTAATATATGGACTTAATTGACCAATAAAACTTCTGGTGTTATGCATAATTTAGAGCTAAGTTGTATGAAAATCTACCACAGTGATCTCTCGATTATTCGTCATTCAAAAATATTGTAGCATTAATGGTAACCCAAAAGTGTTAGATAAGTATCTTTATTAAATGGGGTTACCTCTATTATTTTGGATAAGGAAAAATTACGCAGAAATAATTTTTGTTTCTGTGGCTTTACCAGCGGAAGCTAACGCCAGCAGAAGAAGAAAAAAATAATAGACCTAGTGAAAGATTTTTTGAGAAAAGTATTGTAGAAGAATCAGTGACACTTCTAAGTATTTTTAAACCAAACGTGAGAATTGAACTAAAGTCAGATTGCTCTCATTTTATGGTCTCTTCCTATATGCAAATTGAATACACATATAATTGAATGGCATAAAGCTTGTTCCAGAGTGAAAATATACCAGATGTAGAAATAAGAGCGAGAAAAAAGATTTGACACTATCTTTCCAAGGCCAGTGTATATAAGGTGGTATCGATTCAATTGTATTTTGTATTTGCTTTTAGCGGGCCATTGTCAAATTCCAGCTTTCTTCCATGCTCTCAGGTTTTCACTCACTCACCAGCGAAATATAAAATTTTGACAATCACGCGCTACTCACAGCTGATGAAACAACACCACTTTATATAAATTCGCCTTGGGGTGGTCTTTACAATGTTTGAAATGTTGATTTATATAATGCTGTTCTTTGTGTAATGAGTCAGATGTTTATAAAAAATTGTAAACATTAAATAAAATAAAGCTCTACTCAGAATCGCAGCGGTCGACTGTTAACCACTGTCAAAATTAAAACTCACAAAGACATGTGGAATGGCTCATAATTGCGATGGCAGCGGTTTTACCACCGACGTTTTTCGGTTGATTTAAATTTATTTATTTTTTTACCGCACAGCTGGGACGCGGCACAATGTTAATTGAGATTGTAGTAATTCTTATTATTTTCACAAGTTTGGCAATGTTTTCATCCATTTTTGTTTCCAGCAAATTTACATACACGCACGTACCGAAAAAACTATTTAATTCTAATGATGATTTTCAAATCAAAATAACAACTGACGGAAGCCGTCGTGCGCCGAAATTATGTTTACTCTGACAGATTTCACTGCGGCAACTGTTAACTTGCCGCCGACCACTTTACCGTCGTCCGCTGGATAGAGCTTAAAGAACTGTATAGATATATGGAACGGCTAAAAAAGTATGATTTCAATTAATCCCTATTTGAGGAACCACGATGCTTATGGAGCTCTGCCCAGTAAATGTTGTTGCGGTAAAAATCTTGTAATGTGTTGGTGGATGATGCAAACTTACCAAACACATTAGGGGTATTCTCTGAGTCTTGCAAAGCCCTTGCACGGTGTACGGATTGCACGGGTTGCAAAGCTGTCCCATACGAAAACCGGTTTTAACCGTGCAATCCGTGCAATCTGTGCACCATGCAAGGGCTTTGCAAGACTCAGGGAATACCCCTAATGTGCGGTGGAATGAAGTGGGAACCTTATGGGCAAAAAGAATGAAGGTCACACAAGGTGATTTCACTAACAAAAACCAATAAATTCATGGTGGTTTTCATCAATCAGTGCATTTCAGTCATCATTCCACAAATCGGAGGAAAAGTTGGGCCAAACAATAACATGTTGTGTGAGCGGCAATCTCAGCATTATTATTAGAGCCACACGACTAACTGCTACTTAGCAGCAATGGTGATTACTTGGAAGTGAGTGAGATTAGCTCCGGCTTATTTTGATAAATTTAAGTCACATGACCTGGAGTTTGTTTACCCGAAGATGCTAAAGTTTGGTGTGGTTTTGTAGCTTTTAGGCACTCTGACCAGAGTATTTAGAGTTTGTCTGGCATTAGAACATAATGCCACTCTTTGGAGCAAAGTTAGGGTAAATCGGATATCCTTTATGCTGAAGAGCCTGGAGCGCGAGGTTAGCAATCACAATAGAGCAAACGTATTGCTGTCAACGCCAGCAAGATAACACTGATATGACTGATTATCCATAAGTATTATCGACGATTGCATCTTGCTTGAAGGATGAGGAGGGCATATGCTCTGTGGCTGTGCGGCTTTTTCAACACTGAGATAATTGATTTTTTGGTCAGACGCATTTTTCAAAGTTTTTGGGTCGGCTTTTTTCCAATTTTTGGTAAACGTCTTAATGTCGCTACAGGAATAAAGCGACCTGAAGTTTTACGCGGCCTCCAACCAACATAGGTTTCTCATGGCGTACCGGCAGAGGATCGCAGTTAACTAGAAACAAAATTTTGGAAGTTGGGCAAATCTGGAATGAGCGTGGGCATAAGCACTTCTAATTTTAATTCGGGATATACGTCGAAACCTACTGCTATAACTGCTAAACTCAAATACATTTTTATATTTTAAAACTTTAAAATTTTGGAGGCACACTCACATCCACCACATAAATAGGTACATACTTACATATGTATCTATGTACATAATCTCTTACATTTACCAAATAATATTGCATATATACTACATATATGTATGTATGTATTTGTACTCGTTCACCCTGCCGTCTGTCAAATAAATCAATGAAACTATTAGTGCACCAACCATGGTAGACAAGTCAAATGCAAATTGCGGTAAATTTATGAGCATCGCGTAAGCGGTTAAACGAGCTCTGCACCACCGCAATTGAATAAGTGCACTCGAAATGTTGAAGAGAGAGCGCATTGGCAACAAACCGGATTTGATTAATGCAAACAATTTGCAAATTACAAATTCGATGCGCTGATAGCGCAATTTGATGTCGGCTGCCATTCATTCACTCACAGTTGCTCGGGATGTATATCATTCGTAGTATTTTTGTTTTTTGTTCGTTAATCGGTTTACATACTTTTCTGTTTTGTTACTCACCTCATCTACCCAGGACTTATATTTCTCGGTTAAGGTGATTTGTTCGAGCATCGCTGAGCCTTGATTAGTTTTCCAATGGCCCGAGATCGATTTGCGCCTGTAACGAGAAATCGTGAATGAGCGGGAGGCAGAGTAACAACAAAGTAAAAATAAAATAAAAATATTCCTTTAATAAAATTGAAGCATAAATCACGAAATAATAAGCGGCACTTTTGTGCTGACTTAAATGCTTAAATGGTATTATTATTAAATTACGCGACTATCGAGTTATTCGCTTGTCGGCGCGACGGACAATTTCGGCGCAGTCGCGGCGGCAGCAGCAGTGCTTGATTGGCGGCAAAAGAGGTCTTTGACTGTGGCAATCGTATAATCGGCTTTTGTTTTCACTATATTTTTTTTTTGTTGCTTTTATTATTGTACATACATATTGTGGTGGCATGTCAATGAGAGTTTGAGCGTTGAGCGCTGAATGCAACAGCAGCAACGACCCGCACGCCAGCGCATTGTTTATGAACCTTTATTGTATAAAGATTTCTCAAGTGCTGCGTACGCGCCCTCGCGTAATGAACTCCCATTCTTTCAGCATACTCCCATTTACTACAATTCACGAGTGGTGAAATTCAATGCAAATGCAATACTATTTGTTGCAGATACTTCAAACGTAACTGCTACGATGCGCCGTAACAGCGAATACCTGCAGTGCAGTGATAAATATGACGCACAGTGCCCTTGGTTGGGTGAAATCTTTCCTAAGCTTGAAAGATTTCTGCAGCTGGATTCCAACATTTGCTGTCGCTAATTTTGATCGTCGAAAAACTCTAAGAGCATAAAAGACGCCACAAACAACACGTAACATCTAGTTGCATGATTTTTATAGGACAACTCTCATGCAAAGCAAAGTATGCATTACTGGGCTATAAACCATACTTGTAGGCAGCGTTGTGTAAAAAATGACGTTTTTTAACTTCCCAGTAATTTTTTCTATGCACAATATATCCATTGTATAGCGGACTATTTGCTTGTAGAGTATGTACTTACGCTCACACTTACGGCAAATTTGTTACTAAATCTTTTAAGTAGAACTGATTTTGAATTATTTTCTTAATAAATCTTTACAGGCTTTGTTTTTTGCGGCAGGTGCCCCAAAAGATATTTATTATTTGGCCACATATGATTTAAATATGATGAAAACCAAGCGTACGCACATTTTTTTTTGTTATTGTTGGACTAAGGATCCCGCGTTCAAAGGCCGGTTGTGTAAACACTTGAGATTACAAGGCTTATTACAATGTTTGTTATTGCATATTAAAAGCCAAATCAGGAAGAGCTGATCTATTGCAACACACACGCTCGCAAAATCACTATGTTCGTTCTTAGCAGAACGTAATTTAGCATTTTCGACAACCGACCACTTAACCAAATGTCTACAAGAAACAACAAAATATTAAAAATTATGTGATATGATAATATTATATGATATGATGTGACGTTATTTTGTCGCACGTTTAATAATAAAGTGAGTTATTTCAAAATTAAATTTGCGGGAAAATACAACCGAAGTTGAATAATTTCATAAAGTTGGTTTGCAAAAAGAAAAAAAAAATAAAAAACAGATACATATCTTCGCCGTTTTGGAGAGTTTAGTTATCTTCAGAATGAACATGTCTGTGTTCATATGGGATAGTAGCTTTAAAAAGAACCAAACTTCATTATATCACATCGCATGATGCCGTATCTTATGTCATTCAATCCCATTATGCCATATGATATCACATCGCATGCTATCGCATCACATCGACCATTTTCAAGAATAACAGTATCTAAAAATTTAAAAATTCCTGCGCCATTAAGCACTGTGCATTGCAGCCAACCGCACTTGATTCGGCTATAGGTATATATGTACTCCTACTTTGATTCAACGCTTAACAACTTTTCATGGTGCGCATTTCAATTATTTTACAATTGCATTACACTGCCAGTGATCGCCGGTTGATTTGATCTTTCCTCTTGTTTCTTTTCTCCGACCACTTAGCCAGCCGGTTGTGGTGAGACTGATGAGTGGCATGCACAATAAAATCAAGGTCAGCGAGTCAGCGGACAACTTAATCCATGTCTTTAGCGATAGCCATTGACAGTGTTGATGCAATGCATTCGTGATTCCTTAATACATATGTACCTATGTATGTTTGTAATGTGTTTTGGCTCAACATTTTTTATTTCATCCAAAATCATTTCGATGCTTTGCATTTAAATCGCGGCATTACAGAGTCCACTCAGGCACTCGTATGTGTATACTACATATGCTCAATCACCGCTGATCAGATGACCACAAACAAACGTACATATAAATATATAAAGTATTTATTTATCTACGCATGTTTTGAAAATCTACAAAATGTACATACATTCATATATCACGAGCAATGTATTAACTACTTACATAAAAGCCTTGTAATTATTTCCAATCTTCTGGATATGCACATCGAATTTTGCATCAATATACGGCTCAATCGTGCAATAGCAGTGCGCATCGTTGCCCGAACCGGTGACAAGGCCAGCCGCATCTTGTAGGGCGCTCTGGTTCTCGAGGCGTGCGGTAGCAACGCCGCCATGGCAATGGCCTGCCTTCAAAACACACGGAAACTTTGTCCAGCTAAACTGTAAGTAAAAAAAAAATAAAAAGTAAAAATCACTACATTTGTTATCAGAAGTTGGCCACAAAATTAATATTTCAGGAAATGCCATTCAGTAAAGAGCAGCGGAATATATTATCACTTGTTTCAAAAAAAAACGGTGGCTTTATTACAGACGTGCTTGTTTTTATTTTTTAGTTTCACTGTATTGCTAAAAAGCAGATTGAATTTATGTTGATTAATTTTCTGGCTGTTGGCCAACCATGCAACAGGCCGCGACGTTTCATGCCGCATTGTGAGGCGCCGTGTGACATTCGCTTATTTCGCTGAATTTCTGCGAATTTTTAATGAATTTTTCAATTGGCCACTTTTCCACACTTGCCAAACCTTCTCTATTTCGATTATTCAAAACATAATTTATGCCTACTCAAAATTTTAAATTCTTAAAATTTGGTCGATTTTCTTATTTGAGTTTTTCCTTGATCAGCTATTTGCGCCAAAACCATCGTCATTCTAATGCTTTTCCATTGACCTTGGCCATGAAAATTTATTTATTGGATAGCCAAGATTATTCGTGTGACTAGCGTTTACGAATGCTTCTTTCACATGGGTATGTATGTATGTCTATATCGTTTTGTTTTGAATAAAGGCTATTAATAAGAATATGAGAAATACAGAAAATACTTATATACATATGTAGGTATGTATTTTTAGTTCAATCGGTACTTTGAAAAGTGCGCAATTTTCCAAGAAAATTTCAAAGAAACATTTATTTCCGGTTGCCGTTGAAGTATTATTTCATTTTTGGTTTCTAGGAATTGATTTTGGTTGATCTTTTTTATTTTTGATTTCATATTCGTTCTGTACTTTTTTGTCCTTATTTAAAATATCGTGGGCTGATGTTCCAAAACCTACTATGTGACCTGTCATCACTGATGTTAATTCTGACTTTGCAATTTAATAGTAAATTCTACAATTAATACCACCGATGACAGTTAAGTCTTAGGTGGATTTTTTTTTTATCAGAATCTCATTTTTGTGAAAAGTGCAGATAGAGAGTTTTGAATATAAGCCCTCGCTTATTTATAATATTGATCGACGTCGATTTAAAAATAGCATCAACAGCCGAAGGTATGGAATAAAAGCAGCTCAAGGGAGTCTCGCCTAAAAAAGTCAAATGTAGAGGAGGGAATAGAGCTTTTAATGTTGAGTGAAAAGATAAATTTATGTATATGAGCAAATCTAACGATTTATTTTTTATTAGTGTCGTCCCTTCCCTGCCCTCCCTTCTTTTGGCAGAAAAAAAAAACGCTAAAGCATCCTTCTTGCATTTGTTTCAATCAATGTAGTTCCAGAAACAAGTACAATAAAAAGTAGATCAAGTATTTGAACCATTTTAGCCTTAAAACGTTTATTTAGGCGATAAAGTACCGTAAGTATTTATTTTTTATTGTCACTCGAAAAAATAAATTATGTTGTTTTTTTTTAATAACTTTGGGTAGTTTTCAACTAGAATGTTCATATTAGAGGCAACGGACGTTGGCAACAAATACAACATGTCTGTGAAGTTTCAAGAATGCACCACGAAGTTAAGGAAATGACAGCATGCAGAACATCCGTCGCAGCTATTCTACAACTTTTGAAATTGTACGATTTTTTTAATTTTAATAATTCACGATACTTCAAAATTCTTCTTGCCAAAACTAATGAAACTAGCGTAATAAAACTAGTGTGCCACCAAATGAAAAAATTTTCATTGAGTAAAATATGGCTATAATTTGAGAAACTATGTAAAATTCCATTTTAACAATTTTTATCGGTAAACTCGAAATTTATTCTAAAATTGTTATACACTTTCTTCATGTATATATATAATATATATCGTCACTAGACACGAATAAAGGCGCGCTAGTGTTTCGACGGCGAAAAAAGACGCATACAAAAATTTTACGAAAAAAGGTGCTTAAAAAAACTTCGGCGAAGAAAGACGCGTAATCATAGATTTATACTTGGCCAAGGACTGCCATAAGGAATAATGTGTCAAAATCTTCCTTGCTAATATTTAATTACTTTTAAATAATATGACTTTTAAGTTAAGGCGTGCGAGTAAACGTTTTAGTTGACTGTGCTACGGGGCGTATACGTTACATACGCAACTACGGGTATATGAGCGCGGGTGGGTATTTCTACTTCTTTTTTTAATATATCTCTTTCAAATTTCATTTAAATACGATTTCGCGTTGTAATCATGTTTTTTATATAAAACTGAAGATAATGCATTTTCTGAGATAAGTGTTAAGTGACTTTCGAAGGTGTGACTTTGAATAAAAAAATAATCAGTTTCCCTTAAACTTTTTCCCGATATAGTCTATTTTAATTGAACGGCACATACATATATGTATTTAGGTATATGTACATCTGCTTAGCAGTTAGCTTTTATTTATCTTAACAAAAGCTATGACTTATATTATTTTAGCATCGATTCGCCAACAGTTAGCAAGTGGCGAAACGAACGAACTCAATGAGGTACAACCAAACTCGCTATCGTCTATCCGTGCTAGCTAACTTTGCTGTTGCTTTCACATGCAAAACTTTTCGTTAAGCGACCGGAACTCAAACATAGCAAGCAGCAAAGTGGCGATGACGGCTTTTATTTATTTTAGTGCACATGCACATTTGACCGAGCCAAACATACTTTTCAATCGGTTTCAATTTAAGTACATAGGAAGTGTATATTCTGAAAATGAACCAAATCGGACTATAGACGCGAGTTTTCGAAACATATCGAGTTCCGCGATACCTGACGACAATTTTTAATTTTGTTTTTTTAGTTATTGCTTTTAGGACATATTTATGTACAAATGAAGTTAAATAAAAGCTTGTAAAAATAAAGATTACAAAAGAGTTGTTGAACGCTGTAACTTGAAATGAAAAACATTTGTAAAAGTTGATTGAAGGACTGACGTACGTGATATATTTTTTTTTTTTATGACGTCCAGTACAACGGAATTTTTATTTAGTATGCTCTACATTCATACATATCGTCGGTGATACTGCAAACGGTTTATGTCTATTAGTACCCTTGGCAGTTAGATGGTCTCTCACTTGCACCGGAATGCATCTGCAAATCGTTACACCCTAATAAACGAATGACAAAACTGTCTACCTTTGGGTGATGAAGATGACCGATTGCCAGAAGCGATGAGATACAGATAACAGATCAATTAAGCACCAGGGGTAGTAACCCAGTGGGAAAATGTAATATATTGTAATGGAAAAAATCCCAGTCGAAAAATAATCAGTAAAACAACCCTTTTCACATTCGAAAATGCATCCCACGGCGATGTCCTAAGAAAAGTGGGGCATTCAGTTTTCCAACTGTACAATTTTAAGACTGGTTTTCACTATGATATATATGACGATACGGATAGATAGCCGATTTAGTAGCACATGTACACACCTAAGACCCATTCTGATTGAAATCAATCGATCCACTGCTTTTTAATTCCATTTGACAATGTGTTTTCATTTATATGACGACAAATGCCATTGATTTTAACATAGTGAAAACAAGCCTTTATAATAATATGATCTGTTTTAGCACACACGTACACACGGCCACCTCTTCTCCCACCCCCATTCATTCTCTCACCAAACGAAACGTGCCCGGTTTTATTGAGTTTCTGATATAGACGCGCCAGTATTTTTTGCTATAAGTATACATAGCGGCGAATATATGACTGAATTATAATGAACACGACTGTCAAACAAAGTTTTAGCTTGTTCAATATTTCGCAGTAGCCTATCGATATGTTAAAGTTGGGGAAACAATGTTATTGTTGGAAAAGTGCCGAACTTTTTGGTTAAATATCGTAATGGCAAGACTTTTAGCGCTACTCACAATGAATGCAAGAACTAAAAAAGTACGATATCAATTTTGTAAACAACAAAAAACTGATTTCCAAATGCCCATAATAAAACATTTAAAGAAGCGCATAAATCTCAATTGTTGACCTATTCATTCATAGAGTAGATTTATACTGTTTTTGTATCATTGATAAATCTATAGCCTGATTCATGCAATACTACACTCTACCCAACACAGCTACTGTGCATAAATTAAACCATTCAACAGTCTCTAAATGATATTTCGTTGATACTTAATAAATCTTCGCGTGAAGTGTAATGCGAAGCACGTGTTTACCACAAATGAATCGAGCGAAGGAATGACGCGATTATAGAATTAATTGATGAATGAAGCGATGCGGTGATGGGAAGATCAATTTGGTGAATGGCTGAAGAATAAGGGTAATTTCAAATGATGTGGAGCATCATAAATAAATTTAAACTGTGATACATCAAAGGCAAATTTTTAGAATTACAGCAATGAGCTTGGCTTTAATGTCTGTGAATGACGACAACACACAGCCTAGCGTCAACATACATACGTATTGGGCTTAACTTCGAGTTTTAATATATGGCTCATTCACATTTTAAGGCTTAATTCTTAAACTTTAATATAAAATTCTTTAAAACGAGTATTTTCTAATAGGTTTCCGAGATATACTCAATGCCCTATCTCACTTCAAAATGTACTGAAAATGTGCTGATATATGGCGTTTTTGAATCGGCAGCTGGAATAGGGCGTTTTGAAACGAATTCCGAAATAGGGCGTTCTTAAACCAAATTCTGAAATAGCACGTTTTTGAAAAATTTTGACAGATAGGGCATTTTAGAACTGGCTGCCGAAATAGGTCGATCTTCCACTCAGCAGTCGATATAAACCTCTGAAAAAAACACCCGATACATACATGCATACATGTAATAATATGTATATCACTGCATACCTTCCATGCCATTCATACCGTCGCCAACGTGCGCAATGATGCGTCAACCAGATATTTAAAGAGCGCCGAGATTATTCTACACCAGAATATATAAAGTGTATAAAAGGAAGCAAGCGATAAAAGTAAATCAGTGTAGCCATGCAAAATCTACTCATAGATTCTTCAATGTAAATATTTA